ACCATGCCCCCGGCCCCGGCCAAAGAGCCCTCCCAATTTTCCCGGACATGCCCGGCTTTTGGGGATTTCCCCCCGGACGGGGATTTGAGCCCCCAAAAGCCGGACATGTCCGGGAAAATCCGGACGTATGGTAACCCTAGGGTTGCCAACTTTCTAATTGCACAAATCCGAACACCCTTGCCCCATCTCCTTCCCCTCTGCCCCTCCCTCTGCCTCACCCCTTCTCTGAGGCTCACTCCATCCCCACCTCCCTCTGTCACTCACTCTCCCCCACCCACCCTCACTCACTCATTTTCACCAGGCTGGGGCAGGGGGTTGGGGTGTGGGAGGGGGTGAGGGCATCAGCGGAGGTGTGGGCTCTGGGGTGGGGCTGGGAATGTGGGGTTTGGGGTGCAGGAGAGGCTCTGGACTGGGGGATGGGGCCCAAGGGATTCGGAGTGTGGGAGGGGTCTCCGGGTTGATGTGGGGATTGGGGGGGGACTGGACTCGATGACCTCTCGAGGTCCCTTCCAGTCCTATAATCTATGATTCTATGCTGTGTTGAGGGGGGAGTGACAGTGTCCATCTGTGCATCTAGAGGTGCTCCAGGCAATGAAGTTTGAACTCCTGTGGTACATCCATAGAGTTGCCAAGTGTCTGGTTTTCGACCAGAACACCCAGTCGAAAAGGGATCCTGGCGGCTCTGGTCAGTACCTCCGACCAGGCAATTAAAAGTCTGGTTGCACGGGGCTGGCAGGCTCCCTACCTGGTTCCATGAGGCTCCCTGGAAGTGGTGACATGTCCCTCGGCTCCTAAGCGGAGGGATGGCCATGGAGGCTCTGTGCACTGCCCCCGCCCTACTCTGAGCGCCGGCTCAGCAGCTCCCATTGGCTGTGAACTGAGGCCAATGGGAGCTTCAGGGGCAAAGTCTGTGGGCAGAGGGAACGTGCAGAACCACCTGGCCGCATCTCTGCCTAGGAGCCGAGGGACATGTTACCACTTGTGGGGAGCCACCCAAGATGAGCACTGCTTGGAGTCCGGACCCCAAAACCCCTCCCATGCTCCAGCTCAGAACCCCCTCCCGCACTCCAAACCCCTCAGCCCCACCCTGGAGCCCCCTCCTGCACCCCAAGCCCCTCATCCCCAGCCCTATCCCAGAGCCCACACCGCCAGCCAGAGCCCTCCCCCCCCCAACCCCCTGCCCCAGTCCAGATCCCCCTCCCACACCTGAGCCCCTCATTTCAGGCCCCAGCCCAGAGCCTTTACCCCAGCCCAGAGCCCATCCCCCCCAATCCCCACATCAGCCCGGAGACCCCTCCCACACTCCGAATCCCTTGGGCCCCATCCCCCAGTCCAGAGCCTCCCAGCGACTCCTGCTAGCCTGGGCATGCAAAGCTACATTGTCAGTAGCCACTGTAAATCAGTTAAAGAATGTCCAGACAAAAGGATTGCACCCCAGGGGTTGTCCGTGATATGCAGGAGGTCAGACTAACTGGTACCTTCTGGCCATAAGCTCTATGAACTTATCTAAATCAGTGCAATATCTATGTGGTGAGAAACCCTAAGAGCATCCTGCTATACCAGACAACTTTTAGAGATCATCTTCGAATTGAGGGATCACTGATGATGATACCAGACAACTGATCAGTTTGATCATTTTTTTTAGACATTTAGGCCCCATCCTCAAAGGTGTTTAGGAACTTAACTGCTATTGATTTCAAACCAAAATACCTTTGAAGGTCCATCTGGGCAGGTGACCAGATAACAAATGTGAAAAATCGGGACAGGGGGTGGGGGGTAATAGGAGCCTATATAAGAAAAAAACCCAAATATCGGGACTGTCCCTATAAAATCGGGACATCTGGTCACCCTAGGTGGGAAAGATTTCAAACTCTTCCAACAGTGGAGAGAGGGCTGGAGGCAGAAAAACGCCCCCTCTCCCCCTTCCAAATACCGTGGCGCCAGCAGGGAGCCTCAGCTGTGAAGGGAGGCTCCCCAAACCCTTTGCGTCCTGGGAGAGCAGATCCCCAGTTACCCTCCGCAGAGATCCGATTCCTCCTGGGATGGTTCCGACAGCCACAGCTGGAGCTCTCCGCTCTCTTCCCCCACCCGACACACAGAGCAGGTCCCGGGGGAGAGATCCCAGAGAACTCCCCAAGGGGACTGGAGAAACTCCATTGCTCGCCCAGGCTAGCAGGAGTCGCTGGGAGGGGGAAGGCGAGGAGAGCAAGAGGAAAGAGGCTGGGATCCGGGAGGAGGGGAAGGGGACGAGTCGGGAGGAGGAGGGGAGGAGATGGAGGGGAAGGGGAGAAGGAGGGAGGAGAGAGGAAGCGGGAGGAGAGGCGAAATTCAGGCTGGGAGAGAAAACAGAAGGGTCCCTGTGCGCTGTGGGCGATGCGCCTCCTGGCCTTGGCCCTGGCCGCCCTGCTGGCCCAAGCGCCCATCCCAGGTAAGGAGCGATGGGGAGCGGGGGCGGAATCTCCGCACGGCTGCCTCGCCCCGGGGCAGCGGACCCCTGTCCCCCGCGCTGGCTCTGGGAAATCTGCGTCTCGGGTTAAATAACTGGGGTGTGCGGGGCGCTTGTTCAAGGAGAAGTTACAGCCCCCTTGTGCTTTGCCCCGAGCCCACCCCGCGGACGGCCCAGGAGAGGGGGGCCCCGCCGCCCCGAGACGCGCACCCCGTGGCCGGGCTGAATTCGGCCCGTTTCTTGGCAAGGTTTTCGTTCGATCCCCCAAGCCCGGCCCGCTGATCCGACTCCTGCCCCGGACCCGTTTGTAACCCGAGCTGGGTCCCTGCGCTTTCGCAATCAATTCTTCAACGCTCTCTCTCGGGTCGGGGCAGCTTTTGCTCCGGTCATTTCAGACCCTGGAAGCTGTTGCAGATACTCGGCCCTAAACTCCAGACAATGCGTCAACAACACCAGGAAGAAAAGGAAAAGACACTGAAAGAGTTAAAAACCCACCCCCCAACCCCGATTGTAGTTTGTGACGATTGTCGCTTTCTGTTTAACGGGGCAGGAACAACATACAGCTCACAGTATTTTTTTTTTAAACCATTACCCTCTTTACTAACCTTGCACCGTACTAAAGCTGCAGGAATTTTAAACCTCTAGTTTACTTTGTAATAGGTTTGCTGCTAACTTTTTGCATTTGTCTCAGCTTGGGCAATTGAAACTAGACTTGTCATTTTGACTTCTCTACTCAGTTCCACTAACACAAGCCTTGGTTGCTTCCTGCAGAAGGGGCGGGAGGATTTAATAAAAGATCATGTTTCCACTGAATTTAAGAATAAACCATGAAAACATGTATTGTCTGACTAGAGTTGAATCTGTAGCAGTGAGAGATTTGGGGGACAATTTTCAAATGCATTTAAGTGATGTAGCAGCCTAAGTCCAATGAGAAAGTCCATAGACTTTCAATGAGACTCAAAGTCCCTTTTGAAAATGGGACTTAGGCACTTTTGTCATTTTTACCGGTGATGTCTATGCTTCCCAGACATGGGGTTCACCTGGGCACTGCTGATTAACAAGAATTAATATTCTGATGAACACACCACTCCAAACCTGAACTTCAGAGTTTGTGGATATTCCAAGGAGGAATTTTTGTTTGTCTGGCTGAGAGTTCTGGATCTGCATCTGCCTTTCAAAGTTTTGAAGGCTGAATGGAGGTTCAGGCCAATCTCTGGAGCTGGGCTGAAAAGTTTTTGTTAAGAGAGGGGCTCCTTACTGGTGAAACTTACAAATATCTCAGTCCAACTGAAAACATCTGGTTGGTTGTTGTGATCTTTCTTGCCATATGCTAATTATTTTTATTAATTATTATTATTTTTTTAAAATGGAGATATCCTATCTCCTAGAATTGGAAGAGATCTTGAAAGGTCATCGAGTCCAGCCCCCTGCCTTCACTAGCAGGACTAAGTACTGATTTTGCCCCAGATCTCTAAGTGGGCCCCCTCAAGGATTGAACTCAGAACCCTGGGTTTAGCAGACCAATGAGCTATACCTCCCCACCCAGGGGTATGAAAAAAACACTCCCCTGAGCGACATAAATTTGCCGGCACAAGCCCTCATGTGCACAGCGTTATGTCGGCAGGAGAGCTCTCTCCTGTCAGCATAACGCAGCTACACAAACGCTTTTACAGTGGCACAGCTGCATTGGTACACCTGTGCTGCTATATGCGTAGACATGGCCTTAGCAGCAGGGGGAAATCTTTGCAAGATGTCCCTAGTGTAGACAGGGCCCTAGTCTTGCAACTAATCCACTATCCCAGGCTGCCTCCCAGTGAGCCAGGGAAAAAGGCGTTTGGGATATCCAAGGGAGACAAATGAAACTAAAGCATTGACAATTACAGCAGCCAGTTGTAAATAAAGCTAGAGCAGACAAAGGCCCTTAACAATTAGGAATGCTGCAATTCAGACAATGCAGACTGGAAATAAGGCATACATTTTTAACAATGAGTAACTAGCCATTGGAACAACTTATCAAGGGTTGTGGTAGATTCTCCATCACTGACATTTATTAAATCAAGTTTGGCTGTGTTTCTAAAAGCTCTGCGCTAGGAATTATTGTGGAGCGGTTCTCTGGCCTGTATTATAAAGGAGGTCAGACTAGATGATCACAGTGGTCCCTTCTGGCCTTGGAATCTATGAATGTATGACATGAGTCCTGAATATTTGACTCATTTTTTTTTTACTTCTTCCATGTATTATAAATAGTTCCCTTCTCAGGCAGTGGTAACAGCAAGACTAAACTCTTGTGGTGAGCTCTGTCTGTGCTGCAGCGTCATCCATGCCACATAGTTTTCATTCCCTGCCTTCCCAAATCTCTCCCCATTTGAAGCAGCAACCATGTAAAGTCTGCGAACCCAGAACTGTGTGTGCGCGAGGGTCTGCTGCTCTCTAATTGATGGAGCATTCTCCTCTATTGGAAAGGAACCTGTTACAGGAGTATCCTTCACTTGGGGGCTGAGCCAAACCCACTTGAAGTCAGTGGGAGGCCTTCCACTATCTTCAATGGGCTTTGGATCAGAGCTTTCATTACCGTATATGTCTACAATATCCTCAGTTTCCCCAAATCTCCTACTGTTACAACTACCATTCTGGCTCCACTGGTGCCCCACTGGCTCCATCAGTCACTATGTTTGCTTGTTTTAAAAACAGCATTACCTAACTCTGCTCGCAGCAGGATTAGATGACACAGTGGTTAAAATGCCAGTGGCTTCAAATACATAAAGTTCTCCCTATTGCTATCCCCCCGGAGCAGCTCTGGTGATAGCAACAGCAGGAAGTTTTAGGGAACAGAGTCTGCTGTTGAGCGTTTGGACCAAATCCTACATGCCTTACCCATGCAACTAGCATTCTCGAGTCTATGGGCTTTCTTGCTTGGGAGAGGTGAGCTGAATTTGATCATTTCTTTGGAACAACCACAAAACCTATCAAAAAGCCAAAAACTTGGACATTAAAAAAAAGAAAACTTTTATACTGGGCCAATTCTCAGGTAGCAGTGATCAGAGAAATTGGAGAAGTAGTACAAATTGCCTATGCAGGTCTCCGCCACAGCAGTATCTGAACTCCTCTTTTATATACTCTGTTGTGTATTTTTTGGCATTGTGTGCTGTCTAGTTTTAAATTACTCAAACAATGGTCTCTTCCTCTGGGATACTAGGCCACAATTAGAGCGAGTCAGCATTTTTTGAACAAAAAGTTTACACATCAAAAAAGGACATAATAAAAATGGTTTGCCCTGAAAAATGTCAGGATGTTTGAATAATTTCCAATAACGTTTTATAGTGTGTTCAACTGACTAAAAAACATGGTTTTGGCCAACCAAAACATTCAAACATTTTAATAATGTTTGATAAATAGGTAATGAAAATTTAGAAAAAACCCTGATATTTTTAATGAAACTAAATTTCTCATTTTTTGATCAGCGTTATCCACAACCTTAAAGATCTCATTTAGGGTGTGAGACAGCAGGCCTATTTTCATATCTCACTGTAAAGCACCTAGTTAGTGCACTGTTAGTGTTAGACAAATAAGTAATAAAACCATCATCACCTCAGGCTTTTCCTGCTATTCAGCCTAAATTTCCTTTTCTTTATTGCAAGCCGCTATTTCTACTCATATCCCGGCACAATCCGAAATAACCTCTCTCCTTGGGATTTACAACTTTCTGTGCTCATGCAAAGTTATCTTGATCCCTCAATTAATATCACTGATCCAGACTATGCCTAGCTGGGTCAGACATCTTCTTACAAATCAATTCAAATAAGATCCATTCAGTATTATGAGATAATAAGGATGATATTTTTATTTTCCTCTCATTTTCTTTTTTTAAATGGCCCTTATTTTTTAAAACAACCAACCAACCAAATACAAAAAAGTAGAATGGTCTATAAAACAGGCCCAAAACAGTACAGGAACCCATGGTTTTACTGTAGTGTTTGGAGCCATTACTGTAATAGTAGTACCTAGCTTTTCTCAGCTGTAGCTCTCCAAGCACTTTACAAAGGAGATCAGTATCATTACCCCCATTTTACAGATGGGGAAACTGAGACAGAAAGGGGACATGCTTTGTTTGCTCAAGGTCAGCCAGCAGGCTGAACCACCAATAGAATTCACATCGCCTGAGTCTTAATTCAGTGCTTGATTCACTAAGCCACCCTACTTTTTGAATAAAGTGTCTTCTCTTAAGTATCTGTGATATGTAACACTTTATTTAAAGTCATAGCCTACTAAAGTAAAATATATAATCACAGCACAACACTCAGTTTCACAGCTTAGTTGTGCCCAAACAGAACTAGCACCTCTACTTCCAATACTCCTGCAACAGTAAATGGAAATACTTGACTTGCTTATTTTAAAGATAAGTATATGTTTGTGTTTCAGGAGTTGATGTCAGACAAAATCCTCTACCAAATGCTCATCCTTTCTTGGTTAACCTGTTCCTTGCTGATGTGCTGAAAAAGTAACTGGAAGGGAGAGAGCCATTCTCCCTTGGTTGCGTATATGCCATGATTGTTTGTACAAATGAGGCAGAGGCCAGAATAATACTTCACATTTTCAAAGTGCATTTCATCCTGAAGGACCCCAAAGTACTTTGCAGAGGGGATTGCAAGGACCACTTGCCTGCTGCTGAAATACAGCTAGAACTAGGGTAGAGGGCAGCACACTATTTGATAACACATTGGAGACAATCTGTGGAACTCATTGCCATAAGACAAGGCCAAGAGTTTTGTAGACTTCAAAAGTAGATCATAGATAATGAGAACATCTATAGTTACATTAGAAAGGAAGAAATAGGAATATAATCTCTTGTGCTCCAACATATAAGTCACGCAATATCTGTCTGACAGGGTCAGGAAGCAATTGCCTGTATGTGTAGATATGCCTTAACTGTCTATTACAGGATTTCTTCCACCTATCTCTGATGCATTTGGTACTGGCCACTGCTGGAGGCAGGATAGCGAATTAGACATAGCACTAGTCTGATACAGTTTGGCAATTCCTACATGGGGAAAGTTTAGGCAAGAACACTAGGGCAAATGTCATAGGCTTTTTAATATCCACCAAGAGCACCCAAGATTTCAGGGTTTAAAAGCTCATCAGAAAGTCTTTATAAACTCAACTGCACAGACCCCAATTTATCTGCCTCAGAGTTACCTGCCAATCTAGCTGTTTGCTGATTCAGGTGCTTTTGTGCTGCCATGGAAGGTTCTCATGATCCATTCTCTCTTTTGCAGATGTTTGCGAGGCTCTGAATGTGACAGTCTCACCAGGACCGACAGTGCGATACGCCGAGGGAGACAATGCTACCCTTTATTGTCACGTTTCTCAAAAGAGACGGACAGACAACTTACTTGCTGTCCGATGGGTTTTTGCCCTCTCACCCACACAGGAGTATCTGATGATCAAAATGACTAAATTTGGGATTGTCCAGTACTATGGAAATTACACCCACCACTTCCACAAGCAAAGACTTCGCCTTCTTCAAGAGAGACACGGAACAATATACAAATTCCTAATTCTGAATCTGCGGCCAACGGATCAAGGCCATTATATATGCAAAGTCCAGGAAATTGGCAAGCACAGGAATAAGTGGACTGCATGGTCAAATGGCACAGCAGCTACTGAAGTAAAAGGTGAGGATGCATCTGATGCTACTGAGTCTGATCCTAACCTTTTTCTTGCTCATTATCGTTAACTGTTGGTTTTTCCCCATGTCAAATTAATTCAGAAGATGCTTGAATTTAGGCTTTCCCCCCAAAAAAATCATTTAAAAATAAATCATATAATACTTAGCTTCATAATAATACTTATACCTCAGAACTGAAAAATTAAAGGCAGGACTTGAACATGTATAGAAATTCACTGCTGTAAATTTCTAGATCATTGTCTTAGCTGTTCAGCCAAAATGATGATAGTTAACAATACTTTGCACTCATTCAAGCATAGGTCTCAGAGAAATTTGCAAAAGGGACTAAACAATATTATCCCCATTTTAAACATGGGGAAACTGAGGCACAGAAAGAGTAAGTGATTTTCTAAAGGTCATACAATGAGTCAGTGTCTGCGCTGGGAATAGAAACTGGCTTTCCTGTGTCCCAGTTCTCCATTCTGCCTCTAGAAACCTCCAGAGAATAGATCTTCCTCATGAGTTTGCTTTAAGTTCTAGTCCCAGCTGGAAGCAGTTCAGGAGCAGTCTCTCTAATGCAGTTTTTGGATGTTCAGCTCTTCTTGGCCTGAAAGTGGAAAAGCACTGATCAGAAGGTTCCAGAATTGCATAGAAAGATTGGGTTGAAGTCCAGCATAAAAATGACCTGAGGTGGGCCTTCCAAATCCAAATCCCACGCTTACAGCTGCCCCCCCCACTCTTAATAGCGGGCCATATCAAAGCCCCTGATACAAACACACCCAGACTTTGAGAAAGGGTTGTGTTCTGGATTTGGATTTCATAGATTGGGCTCACGTCAGAAGGTAGCTACGCTCAACATTGCAGTGTCAATGGTGGCTGGGAAACGCTCCTCTGCATCTGATAGACGGTCTCCTCATAGATGTGGGTGTGTGGTAAAAGGAAGTGTTGACTAAGTTCATTGGGTCCTGATCCAAAGACTACTGAAGTCAGTGGGAATCAGGCCCTAAGTTACTGGAACTGAAGGGTGTGAATGCCTGCACAACCTACGGGGGAATCACCAACCCAGCATAGAAAAACCTGTTGGATGAAAACTCTAGGGTTCACCTCATGGAATTTCCTCCAGCCCTGCTGGCGCTTGACTTGTTGGGTGGGTGTTTTTAAATTAAGAAGCTGCACTAAATATTTAGGAAAACGTATTCCTAATTAACTAGTATGTGTTTCTGGGGGGAAAATGAACCTGATTCCCCTCTTACTTATACCAGTTTTAGACTGATGGAGCTCCACTGACTTCAGCAGAGTTCCTCCTGATTTACAACTGCTGTGAGATCAGAATCAGGCCCAAAGGTCTCATTTCGTTAATATCTTGTGCCAGAGAAACCTAAAGCATGTTTCCCATGGTGCTAGCTTCATAGTTCTAATTAAGCTTCCTCCAGCATCTTTGTACTAATACACAGAGAGAGACAAACAGTGCAACAGACGATCTCTATTGATAGCTCATAGACATCACAAGTTTTTGCTTTGCTCTCTCACAGATAAAAGACAGAATATGAAAAAATATGATCAGAAATAAATAGCAGCTGCATTTTGCCCACTAATGTTTAAACCTGCCTTGATTAAAATCAGAAGATTAAAGTAATGTAATTAGCTACAGTTATTAGTAGCCGTGGAAGCTCTTCCAAAGATCTAGAGTTGAAGTTCAGTTTGGCTCAGTACCAAATTGTATGAATGTGAATTTTTTCAAAGGACATAATCTAAACCATCTGATCCTCTTGGACCTGCAAAATTTGGCAAGATTTCGGCAAGATTTTGAATGAGATTTTCCATGCTTCCTGTATGCAGCCAGCCAGACATAATGTGAGAAGAGTGACCTGAAATCTCAGATCCAAACAACCCTCACTTATTTTGGGGAATGTACAGATCCAAATCTAGATCTGTTCCTTTCCTCTGGCCCCTAGCTAACTACCCCAGATCTTAATTCCCCCCAGTTTTTGGAGCAGTTCAATGCTAGATTTGCATTTCCCTCTTGGTGGTGTCCAAATATCTCTACTATTTTGGCATTTCTGCTTCAGGTCCTGGTCAAAATGTGAAAGGAAGCACAGAGAATGCAAATAGGAAAGGTACCAGGGGGCCGGGAGGAGGAGGGAAGAGAAGATTCTCACACTTCCCCAGACCACAGAGAAAGCTCGTGTTTAGTTTGAGTTTTGGCCAAGGATGTTTGTCTTAGTTTATCCAAGTGGTGTGTGTCCTCAAAGCAGGGCTCCACACCTCAGCATATCAACAGTGGAGTTCTGACCTTCCAGCTGCAACTGGATTTCCTGTAGAACCTGACATGGGCCTGATCCAACACCCTGTGAAGTCCATGGACGGACTCCCATGGACGTCAGTGAGCCGACGCTTGTATTAAAATAAAAAGCTCGTAGTAAATGGGTGAGAAGCCAAAGGAGGGCAGCAAAGGTGTTAAATGGTGACTTGTGAAAAGAACTGAGTTTTCACAGCCAGGAAAACAGATTGTAATCCATTGTTTAGGCTGCGCTACACAGCGCCCTCTAGTGACTGGGGCAGAGGACAGAAGTCATACAACAGCAACTGACTGGAGTCAGTCCTTTAGTTGAGTGATTGAGGATCTTGATTTTAGGGTCTGGAGTTCAAATCCCTGTGACAACCCCTGATGGTCGCCATTACAAAATGATTGGTAATCATGGCTCTAAAAATTCGCCTGTCCTGAAGGGGGAATTTTATTGGGAAACATGAAGTTCATGCATAAAAAGAGGACACTCACCCGCTGCAGAGCAGGTGGAATCTTAAGATTCAAAATCTGTAAGAGGAATTCAACATAAATCATGAGTCCGGCCCCAGAAATCATGAGATTTTAAAACAATCACAATTTTAAAAAAATACATTTTAGGTTCTTTATGTGCCTCCTGGTTTTTGAGTCACATTTTCCAGCTTTTCTCTGGAGGGCTAGAAATCCTCACAGCAAGAAAGAAAGCTGAGATTATCGTACAATCACAAGCCCCAGGGAGTTTGGGGCGGGGGGGAAACACCAAATATTGCAAGAATTGCAATAGAAGTCACAAGAATTAGCAACCCCAGATGTTCCAAATCTAATCTTGGGGCCAAGTCTCAAAAGAGACCCCCTCTTTTTTTTTGCACTGGGCTGAAGCAAAATGCTAGATCCAAGCATCTCCAGAACATGGTGATCTCCCAACTCTGGGTATTAGTCTTTGTAGCTCTGACTATATGTCAGGTGACTGGGGCCAGTCACAGTCTCTTTAATGACTCAGCTGTGTGCAATGCAACTTGACTGCATGTGTCATAACCTCATAGCCCTGCTGAGCTGTCAGGCGTCCAGCCCAGCACCAGTCAGGGTTCCTACTGAGGCTTTTGGCAAGCCACGGTGGTGCCATGCCGACTCTCCTCCTCCCTTCCCACTGCTCCTCCCAGCCCACATGAAAGAGCCAGCCACTGCTGAAAAGAAAGTGAGGAGGAGAGGTGGGCAGCTGCCTCAACCTCCCACCAATGGGCAACTGGGAAGCAAGCTGTGGGCAGTAGGTGTGAAGAACTGGTGGCTCCAGGGCTGTGCTGGGGCATGGGCACTAGGTCTGTGTCTATTGAGGCTGTGTCTATTGATGTGTAAGCAGGGCGTGTGGGGCACCGGAACTGTGCAGGACATCAAGGCTTTGGGCAGGATTGAGGTGGGTTTCTGGGCTCTGCACATCCAGTAGGAATGCTGGGTGACGATTGGCACTAGTCCTGGCTTCCCCTTGGCCCCTGGCATCATCTGCCCCAACATCTCCTATCCCCAAGCACTGAAGTCCTCAAGGACAATGACTCCCAAACTCTCGTTTCTCTTGCTCCTTTCTGCATGAGGGCCCATTCCCCACTTCCTGCTGCCCCACCCCTTGATTCACACAGTTCCCACTGGCCCTCCCGTGCCACTCCCTGGACCCAGCCACCCTGCTGTGCCAACTGCCCCCAAGCCATCAGCTCTGGCTACTCCCAGACCCCATCCAACCCTGTGCTTCCCCCAGCTCCCAGGCTCTGCCTTTTCCTCTCCAATCCAGCCACAGCGTGGTGTCACCCAGAGAGCTGCCCCAAAAGCCCTGCCCATTTCCTTCTCCGCTTTTCATGTGCCAGCCTGAGGTTTCCAGCCGAGCCGGAGAATGTGTGTATTAAACAGACTGGGGGGCCTCAGCTACCTGCACTTGACAGTCCCTTTAGTCAGTCAGCGCGGCACAGGCTCAATGAGAGTCGCCGTCCATACGTGGGAAGCGGGAGAGCCGCACTGCTGTGTAGGGGTCTGGGAAAGGAAGGGAAGCCTTGGCAAAAACCTTGCTCTGAATTCCGTGCCGTGAGGGGCGCATTGCCAAGCAACCAGCACTCAGCAGCAAGCCGGAGAGAGGCCTCCACGCCTGCTTGGCCAAACTGCATCCATTGTTTTTTTTTTAAACTGAACAAAGACTTTTGCTCCTAGTGTGTGTTTTAATTAAACTCCAGGCTGGTGAAAGGGGCCATCCTTGGAGACTAGAGACCTCTGTAGATCCTATGCAGGAAGCTCCATTACTGATGCCCTGTTCTCTCAGCAGACTACTTAGCCTGGTAAAGCCCATGGCCAGCTCCCCCACACCGTAGGGTGCCACCTGTCTGGGTTTTACCCAAACAGGCCGGTTTTTGGCTTCTGTGTCTGGGCACCATTTCGGGTTGCCAGGTGCCTGGTTTTCACACCAGCCCCTGCTCAACTGGGGCTGCTTCCTACCTGCAGGCAGGCTCCTTGTCAGGCCACAGCAGCTCCTGTCCCAGCCCGGGAGCAGAGGGAGCCCAGCTGGGGAGGAGGAGGGAGGTGGAGATGATCCAACAAGCAGTGCAGGGAGAGGAACGAGTGATGGGGTGGGGTCTTGGGGGAAGAGGCGGAGCAGGGGGCGAAGCCTGGGAGTCCGGTTGCCAGCAATTAGAAAGGTGGCAACTTTTCTGCACACTTGGGGGACAAGGGATGTAAAGGAGAATCTC